ATGCTATATTAATGCCCCCCCCCCACATTGTTCATAAATATTTCCCTGTTTTATGACCCCCACCCKTCCACCCCAATACTGAGAAGGGATTTTCACTCTTGTCTGCAAATTGTGGTCTTAAGGTTTATAAGTGACTTTAACCGTTAGCAGACCAAAGTGGAGGAGAAATCCTCACCATAAARCTCTGTTTCCCCCTCGAGCGGTGCCACGAGCCCCCCCTCCCCCCGTCAGGAGAAGACGGACCATGAGAGCCTCCGTAATGAAAAGTGAGCTCTCCCCCTCACCTTCCTCTTTCGCTGCCATCAGCTGCTTGTCCGTTCCAACTCCCCTCTTCCTCCAACTTTCGCCGCACACTCTGCAAAGTCGCGTTCAAAGTCGACGGGCAACCAAAGTGGTGCAACAACTAATGGTGTGAGCAAATAAATGACCGCTGGCTGCAATAAAAGCTTCTGCTGGGACCACAGGGGCACGGCTGTGCTCACTGTACAGAGCTGTAATCCTGTTAGTCTGACAGAACATCAGTGCTTCTATTAAACCAAAWCTGAACTCGAAGTTCTGTTTACCTGATTTATAGTGTAAAACCATTAAACTACACCCAAATTGTAAWTCCTCTGTAATCCTCCTTTTAATCAAAATCATCACAAAAGAAGTTTTTCTCTTATGTTAATCCAGGACACAGWGAATTGATTTGCATGTACATGAGTGCTGCAGGTTTTAGTGCGCACATGAATAAAATATGAGACCTCTCTATTAATATTCTTGTATGGATATTCTTATATTCCTATTCAGCACCGTCCTGTGTTTAATTCACATGCATACAAATAAATAATTAGGTGTAAATCTCACCTTTCCTGCTGCCGAGGCTCCTTGTTCCACAGAGAAGCTGCAGAGACACGAACGAACAGAGACAAATTAACCACAGAGGGACGCAGCGACGGCTGCAGGAGGAGCTGATTTTCTTCTGTCAAACGTGTTTAACAGGATTTAAAGGACCTTATAACACTTCTTGGGGATTTTAGTTTGATTTTTGACCAGTTTGTTCCAGGTTCTGAGCAGAAAAAAGGTTMTTTATTAAGAAAAACAAATCACTTCACACAAATAAAGAATCAGGAGCAGATCTGTGCAGTGTGAGTGTCTGATGTTGGGTTGAATTRTTATAAATCTCCAAGTTACAAAAAGCTAAAGTGTTCCCTCCTCAGTCAGGAGCAGGTAAAAAAAAACAGCCAAACTCCTAAAAGTTTACTACCTAAAAGCTCATTTCAGCTGCTCGTAATGCCAGCGTTACATGGAGCTGAATAATATTTTAAAATAAAGCATGTTCTGCTCTGCAGTGTGAAAGCAGTGTAACGTTCAGGTGCAGCTGGTTTATCTTTTACACTGACAGCAGAAAACCAATCACACAGCGTCACGACTGGAGCAGTAAATTATTGTGACCTGCTCTGCTTCATCTTCTGTGTCAGAACCCAGCGGTGGCTCCTCAGCATCTCGTCARGCTAAWTTAAACARTTCTTSTTTTTTTTWWATTTAACGCMTAAGTTTAACTTCTATCAATTCAGTCATTTTTTTTATAAGATGGTGACTTAAAAATTTGAGTTTTCTACTAAAAAATTTAAAACCATCTGGTATTTAACAGGTTCTAAAAGTATTTTAATCTGATCAAGTAAAAAGGTAAAAACTTATGTATTTTTGTCTACTTACSGTTAGATTTAACAGGGTTCTTACAGCTTAAGGCAAATTAAATTCAAGACTTTAAGACCTTTTTTAATGCCACTAAAACTTTAAATTTAAGACCAAATTCACAATAATGATAAATAGAAAAAAAAAAACAGCAACAATTGTACCGAAATGTTTATTTTAACACAAAACAACTAGCTGTGAGAGGCATTCAGTAAATTATAAAAAAAAAATAAATGTTACCAATTATTTTATTATTTGAGACTGAGATACACGATATATCGGCATTAACATCGGTTAAATTGATGTCGGCTGAAATTTTCATATCGGTGCATCCCTAACTGAGAAACTACAACATCCTTCTTACAGAGTGTTAACAGAAAGATTGATTTAAGACTTTTATGACTAATTAAGGCCTTATTTTTGATTAATTCAATGAGCCTCATGCAAGAACATGTTCGTATTCTTATCCTAAATTTCTCTTACTTTTGTTRGTACAAAGGGTTCGTACGAACATGTCACGTCAGATTCAACAAACTCTTCTATCTTCAGGAAAAGTGTGTAAATGAGCTGCGTAAATTCCACCTGTTCGTATCCAGCTGCTCGTGCACGCGAGAGGAGATTAGCATAATTACCACCCCAAAAACACCATATAAGGKTGTGTTTCCTGCCTCAGATATCAGGAAGTGTCCATTCATGAAAATGACAGCGAAACTAAAAAGAAGAACTTTACGAGTTCAGAGATTGAAGTCCGTCTGTCAGAGATCCAGAAAATAAAATCTGTCATTTTTAGCAGGTCAGCTGTGGGATAAAAAGAGCTGCTAAAAGTATAAACAACTGTGTTAAATCATTTTCATTTATTCAGAAGCCACAGCGCTGKGCACCGTACACCCTGTAAACAGGGTGAATGCCACAAATTCTCCTAAATCACTCGTACGCACAACTTAAGAACAAATCTGTGCGTACGAACGGTTCTTGCATGAGGCCCATTGTCTTTAATTCTTTTGAAGGATCCGTGGGAACCCTGCTTAAATAAATTTAAAACCTGGTAAAGACCAGATATTTTTCTGTCCTGACTTGTAAAACCCTAGAACTCGAGGAGAGCAAGTTCTCTCAGAGTCCCAGGGTCTCAGAGCAGAGCTCACCTCGCCACGCTGCTGTTGGCGGAGGTCTCGGCGATCTGCGAGCTGGCGATCCACTTGGTCTCGCCCACCACGGTCCTGGCGTGCGGCAGGCGGCCCACGTCCTTCACCGTCATCATCAGGTGCCGCGAGGACTTCAGGACCCGGACGGCCTCGTCGTGCGGGACGCTCAGGAAGTTGTGGCCGTTCACCTCCAGGATCTGGTCGCCGACCTGCGGGAGAGGAGCGGAGCAGAGAGGCGTGGTGGGAGGGGCTGGCAGAGCCTGTCGCATGCACAGGTTCAGAGGTCGGAGGTCAGAGAGAGGTATCGTTCAGAGATGGAAATGGTGGAGGTGTATGAATGAGAGGGAGAAGGTTAGGTCTGAACCACAGCACGACTGTTTCATATGCAACTGCAATGTCTTCTGGGTACTTTCACTTTGTGCTGAAGGAATCAGCAGAGGAGGAATCATGTCCATACTAAACACCACCTTGGACTACACCTGTAATGAGCRGATATGTTGGAGCTGTAGCCCCCCACAACCCTGTGAGGTGGATCAGAGACCCCTGATGTGCACCAAAGCTTTTAAACGTCACCTCGTCTGGAAGAGTCGACGTTTATCACGACTGTTTAACTTTAAAGCATCAACGTGTCAAAAACCTGTTCAAATGCTCCAGAGAACTGTTAAAATCTGGTTCTGTGGAGTTTTTAAACACAAACCTGTTAAAAGTGGACAAATTTAAAGAATTACATGCAACCATTATAACAGTTTTATTAAGACCTGTTTTTTCCTTCAACAGAACTTTTCCAGCTTTTATTTTGACACATCTGCCTCCCAAAACAGCTAGTTTCTGCACAAGTAGTTTATTTTGAAAGGATTTTAAAGTAGAAACKATGGTCAGGGGTTAGCTCACATCAAACTGTGGATGAAATCATATTTGGTCAAAATGACCTCCGAACATTTTCAGATTCCTGCTTTTTAAAGCTACWTGTTGATGTCTGATGGTACCTTAAAGAGTACTGAGATGTTAAGATTTACCAGTTTTGTCTCAGATAGCTCACAGGGAAAATATAAAAAATGACGATTTTTTTTTTGCCCAAAATCATGTTTTTGTAGCTACTGTTCAAAAAAAATCTTTAAGATTATATTTCAGACAGTTCATACAAAATGATCCATTGATAAGCTTCATCATATTTAGACAAAACACAGTTTTACAAACATTTGAACCAATGCACTACAGCTCACAGGTTTTTCCTGTTTATTCACTGGATGAGTAAAAACTAAAGAATYTAAAGGTCTAAGCTGAACTAGCAGTAGCACATTTCTCTGTACCTGAAGCCTTTTATTTCAAGGTAAACTTCATAAATGTCAGTTGGACACGGTTCATTTTCCTTTAATCAATACCTTGACTGAACCCCAAATAAATAGTCTAAGGCTGGTTCCCAAAGCTGGGGTCGGGACCCTCTGTAGGTCACAAAACATCAACTGAGAAGATAGCAAATAAATGGCAGACGCAAATTTTCACCATAATTACTACAAAAAACCTTCTGTAAATCATAAATGAATCAAGGTAATGTCATTAGGTTTGTTTATACTATTATGTCTACATGTTTAACAGTTTAAACTAGTAATACTGGAAGCTAAWAAGTCTGAAAACCACTGGTCTAAGAGACAAACTATGTTTATCTGCATAAAAACAATAAGAACCCAGTTAAACTAAAACCCATTTCTTACAAAACTCTCCCAGATGCAAACTCAGAATCAAGGTTGAAGCTAAAACTCCTGGCTTTGACTATTATAAACCATCTGACTGTAACTAACACACATTTGGTTTTACTGGTGCCAAAATGTTCAAAACAAATGTAATCACATCCAGGCAACAAATATTGAACTGAAGAAGCCATTTTACAGCTGGCTTCTTTAAAACGTGTCAAAGTGTAAAAATCTGTACAGCAAAAACTGGAAAAGTTAAAATTTCAGTGTTAAACTGTTCAGAGTTGATTTTAACTCCTGAAGTGTTATTTTAACACTTTCTGTGTTAGCTGACAGCCAGTGTTAGAGCTGATTTCAGCAGTGTTGTCTGAACTCTGGAGAGAGTTAAATAAGCTCCAAAATTTTAACACRAACAGTGAAAGAAAATAACACAATTGTGAGTTAAAAGTGCACTTATACAGTGTCATAAAAAACCACCAATGGGTGTCAAATACTTGACACTTTAAAAGTGTTAAATATCAACACTTTTCAAAGTGTAATTTTAACTCAGAATCTGTGAGTAGTGTAGCAGGAACGTAAGAAAACAGTTCCACACAAGAACTTCCTCCTCTTCCCATACTATAGAGAACAATGGCTTTCTCCACTGTCTACAAATGCTAAAATAAACAGGAACTGCAAACTTCCGTTGATTAAGCCCTGTTGTGAGACCCCTTTTAAGTGTTCAAAATGGCCGTTTATAACAAAGGACCCACCATTTGCCCAGACGGAAAGTCTCCAGAAGTGGGTTTACAATCCACACATAGACCCTAGCAGACTGTGTCCCTTGCTGAGATAATGCCCACGAACTATCTTCAAAGACATACAATCTCATTTATGGTCTTAGAGCGCCCCTAAAGGCTYGTCTCATAATCACATCATGAGCAAATGTTTTTCTGGGTAAATTTCTGTTGTTTGGTTGTCTGATAAAAAAAAGAAAAAAAAAGAAACAATGTATTTTTCTATCATGCCTCAATCACTGTGATAATATCTTGATTTAATCACTGTACAGGTAACCACGTCAATCTGTGTTTTGTTCAATCATTTTAGAAGCAGAACCGTGATCTCAGTGAAGCAGGTGACACCCCATGTGACTTCTCTCTCAGCCAATCAGAAGTTTGTAAAGTCAGGACAAGAGATAACATTTTTAGTATTTCAAGAGGGTTTAGAAACAGCAGCCAGAGAGAACGGACCAGGAGTTTCAGGTTCCTTCATTCCCTTCGGGGACATTTATTTTAATTTTAATTTCTTTTTTAGTTTAATTTTTGTAGCGTAGGGACGCGATTTGTTCGGGAAACTGAACTGACCAGAACTTCGGTCCGAACCATCTAGACCCGAACCGACTTCCTCATCTGTAGCTTGAAGCCGACCCCAGACAGCCTCGGCGTGTCCAGCTGTACCCGAACGGGACCCCCTTTGAGACCGAGCAGCACCGGTGACCATCCTCGCTCAGATCTCCTGGACTCAGAAGGAAGAGCTGGTGAGTTGATTTCCCTTAGAAATCACGTCCCCTCTTGATAAATGAATCAACGTTTTTTTATTAATCTAGGAAGTTTTCACTCCTTTTGTTAGAATAGAGAGTTATGATTCTGTAGCATAAAATTACTAGAAGTGGTTGGCTGAAGTGATGTCACTTGTTATTTAAATTCATAGCAGTTGGGATAGCAAATGTCTTTACTTGCCATAAACGACTTGTGATGTAATTTTTCTCTGAATCCACAATATAGGGTATATTGTGAAATCCATGCTTTGTCTCTGCGTTTTTTTATTCGTGTTCACCGTCATAAACTGAAAAGAGCTCCGTCCTCCTGTACATGAGATTAAGTCAAAAATACGAGATTAATTCCCTTAGAGCAACAGGTGGTTCCCCTTTATTATGTTAATAAATTGTAAGAAAACTTATAATTTAGCAACTCTTTATTAATTAAAATCCTCCCACAGTATTATATAAACTCAGATAAAGTGTTAAATTTAACACTCTGAGTTAAATTAACACTTTGGATTTTGCTGTTTGGACTCAAGTTGAACATTGTGTCCCGACTCACCACACTGTTCAGCCAATATTTCCAAACTCTGTTAATGAAAATACAAGGTTTGATGTTTAATGTTTTCTCAGACACAAAAAAGTCTTCAGGTTTGCTAAAGAAAAGAGCCGAGCTTCTGTTGAAACTAATAAGCAGCTTTTTTTTACTGAGGAACCTTCAGTGTTTTCATCAGGAGGACAGAGGAGGTGGCAGCAACGTCTCCTGAAGAACAGGAGGWGTTCTGGAGGAGAAATTAAATCTGTTCGTTTGAGAACCTTCATTTAGTTTATCAGTSAGCAGAACAGAGTAATAACTGCCTCTTTAACAAAACCCACCGAGCCGGTGGGCCTTTAAATGACTTCCTGACAGACGTGAAGTTGTTCACTTCAGAAAACATTAAAGAATAAAACTCATTTATTGCTTAAAAACAAATAAATGCCCTGAAACTGTATTTTGTTTAGGTATTGAAGTGATTTAAACGTGTGTGCGTGCGTGTAGGTAATTAATTTTATCTCAAAGTATTTGGTGGCTGAATGAACTCAGAATATTTCTCCACATGTTGGTAAACGAGGYTAAAACCTGCAGCTGTTCTGAAAAGACTTTTTGCATCTTTTGTATTTTGACGTCAGGGTGGAGGTCCACCTGTGCCCCCTCAGGATCAACAGCTGTGCACAGCTGCATCACCGAGGAGGGTAAATAAAGCTTTACCGCTAGAGTTTTTTTTAAAGTAATCTTTCCACTTCTGATCCAAACGGTTGTTCCAAAGCGAGCGACTGCAGATGCTGAGCACCGCTGCTGATCTTCAGAAGCAAACAGGCAGATTTCAGATTTAATTACAAGCTGTTGCTTCCTGCAGTTAAAAAGGAAGTCAAACCAAACGTTTATTGGAGATTTACACGTCTGATGAGTCCATCTGACGCTGCAGGAGTCTTGTTTCAGAAATGAAGTGTTGCTGACAGATCATTTAAACACTTAACTTTGATTGCAAACAAAACCATCATGTAAAGGTTGATTTTAAACTTCAAACTGAGACGTTTCTAACCAGACAAGACTGAGAAAATATCTAGTTTRTAACTCAAAAGCCCCAAAGATTTAAGGATGTTTTGAACTTATGCTGACGTGTGCATAATATTTTGTCCAACGTTCTGTAAGATGACTCAGTTAACAGGARGGTCAGACAATAACTGTTCAGAGTTTCAGCTCATACTGACATGCTGCTGCTAAGTGAGGCACATGTTCCAGGTATGCATCCCTTCACATGTTCCAGGTACGCGTGCGTTCACATGTTCCAGGTACGCGTCCGTTCACATGTTCCAGGTACGCGTCCCTTCACATGTTCCAGGTACGCGTCCGTTCACATGTTCCAGGTACGCGTCCCTTCACATGTTCAACATATACAACACTGGTTCTAAGGCATCAGTTCAGACGTTACAGGAAAGTTATTAATTTGTTACTAAGTGGGGAACGCATCATTTTTAAATCCGAGCAGCCTCACTTATGCAGAGTTTATTTATTCATCAGTCATATTTTATAATGTTACAGGCAAACTACGCAAACAAAACCAACAGAATCAAAGCTAAGAAAGCAATTCATTTTCCATATTTTATCAATAAACTCATTGATCAAAGTACATCACCAGAATACAATGATCTTTTTCAGCCTAAAGAATCCACAACAAAGACAAAATCTTTCATGTTCAAACAGATAAACTTTATTGATTTTGTGCAAATATTTATCATTTTGAATTTGATGCTGCAACACGTTCTATAAAAGCTGGGACAGGGTCAGCAAGGGACTGGGAAAGTTGAGGAATGCTCAAACAAAACAAAACAAAACAACCAAATAAAAACCTGTTTGGAACATCCCACATGATTATCTCTTCAGGTAATTAGAAACAGGTGAGTGTCATGACTGGGTTTACAGGGAGCATCCCTGAAAGGCTCAGTCGTTCACAAGCAAGGATGGGGTGAGCAACTGCATGAGAAAATTCAAAATGAGTGAATATTTGCAAAAAACTATTAGGTTTAATGAGTATTAGGGCCTCACAATGAGATTATTATTGCATTTTTTTG